AGAGCACAGATGAATCATCTTGTAAACTTGTAAACAGTGCAGAACGGGCGCTAGATTAAAAATGTATGTGAAATAAGCGCCGAAAATCGTCTTCATTCCAGGTTACTCATCATAGTATGTAACTGCGAATTGTTTATTCTCTCATTAATTCTCTATACAGCTATGGCCTCACGCTACCTGTTGGATTGCACGCGCGTTAAACCTTTCTTTGCACGTACAATCTCTACCTCCTCGACACGCCTGCTCCTCCAGTCTTCTCCATCGACCTCACCGCCTCCACCAAACCCACCATTTGCCACGACTTCCGAAGAGCTTCCACAACCGACGATGACAACCCATTACAAAATAACCCTACACCGCTCCGCCATCTCCCTCGGCTCCCGCATCAAAGACACCCTTACCTCCCTCGGTATACATAGAAGGTTCCAGACAGTGTATCATAAACATACACCCGAAGCCGCAGGAAAGATTCTGAAGGTTAAAGAGCTCGTGCAAGTGGAGAATGTGCCTGGGTGGATGGTCAAAACAAAGGAGGAAATGACGAAAGAGAGGCAGGCGAAGAGAGGGTATAAGGTTGTTGGAGAAAGGAGAGGTGTTATATAGGCATTGGTAAGGTTTAAATTTGTTTGAACATCAGCGGGGGATTCAGCTCATCCACCCAGTAGTTTGTTATTAGGTGTCGGGAATCCATACAGCTTTGCAGCCCATGGTTCTAACGCGTAGCTAGAGTCCCCCAATTTTAATATCCTGTAGGGAATAATCTATGAGCAAGGAGATTCCAGCGTATGATTCTGGATACTTGCATACTTGAATCTTTACTTCCTTTCATTTTGACCATTAATGACATCTTCCGAGAAATCAAGCCATTGCTGCGCGCTCAAGCTGACCGTTCAAGCGACAAAGAGCCGACAATGACAATACTCCCCACAGTGCGTACCAGACTTTCCCCTCATACAACCTGTAGGTAGATCATCTTAGAATGCTTCCTCCCGGTTCTGTTTCTGTTCATCACCTTCTCTATCAATTGCCCTCTTGGTTTCTTGAAAATTTCCTTTGACCCGCGCTTCAAAATATATGGTCTCCTTCGAGCAGTAGCTTCAAAGATATCTTCACCTCGCTCGGCATTCACTAGAGGTTCCGAACATCGGATCACGTATGAAGTCAGTAGATTGAGGACTGAATAAAGGTGGGACCTATATACGTCCTTCGTAGTGAAAAAAAAAATGACGTTCACTATCCAGAAGCCAACATATGGAATTTATTATGCATTAAGAGGGAATCGAACCCCCGGCGGGTCGAGTACAACACAATGGCAACGACCCAGGTTACCACTACCCCATTAATGCATGTAGTGTCATTACATGAAAGGTTAGTTATCTATAACAGAACTGTTTGAAGTCCTTGACCTCTTTAGATGTTGAAGCTTTGAAGGGTTTTGTAGTTGTAGATCACTTTTTGATCATTTTGGCAGTAAGTAGTGATCCTGTTGACATCAAGCAGTTGATGTTTCAACTGTCAAGCTGGAAATCTCGGTCAAAGTTGCTTATCTGTAAAAAAAAATCTCCGGAATTATGTGAAGGGAGCCTAGCGAACGAAATAAGATCAACAGACCACTGGTTATACATAAAGAAAGCACTTGGCAAGCAGGGAGTATAATGATTTATTTCATGACTTCGCTCTGTTAGTGTTATGTAGACCAGAAAAGATATTTATGAAATGGCTAGAACATAGCTATATTAGTGAGCCATTACCCCCATTCCCCTCCCCCTCATTTTCAACTCTCCCGACTCTTGCAGGAAGGACTGGAAGCCCACTCATCTTCGACCTCAAGATTTCATACTTCCTCCTCTGGGCCAAGCTAACACTGGGATAGACCTTTTCTTGTGCTTGGATGAAATCGGTGTCTTGGACGAATACGGTCGGGGTGGATGTCACCGGTTCAGTAGCTTGCGTATCTACCACTCCCTTCATTCCCAAATTGTTCAACAAACCCAATGTTCTCTTCAATGCGATGACACCGGCTTCTCGCACTAATGCTTTGAGATCTGCTCCGCTGTACCCATCGCATTTCCCCCCTCTAATGAAGTCCTCTATGAATCCCAACGCTCGTTCCCTAGACCCTCCTGAGCCCAGTCCCTCTCCAGCAGTAGTATCGGCCTCATCTAACCTATGAGCTCCAGAGATGTTACCACCCACCTCCAACGGCACCCCCCTAACCAATGTCCTAACGATCTCCACCCTCTCCTCCCCAGTCGGCAGATCCACATATAACAACTTATCTAACCTCCCTGGTCTAACCATCGCAGGATCAATCATATCCGGTCTGTTCGTTGCGGCAATCACGTATACAGCCTTCCTGGCATTGTGTGAGTCGAGACCATCGAGTTCCGTCAGGAGGGTATTGACCACCCGTGCAGAAGATTCGGATAATGAATCGTCCCTCCGAGGAACCAGAGCATCGAGCTCGTCGAAGAATACGATACACGGGGAGGAAGCGCGCGCGCGAGAGAATAATTGACGCACGGCGCGTTCGGATTCACCGACATATTTGTTCAAAAGCTCCGGGCCTTTAACGCTGATGAAATTTGCTCGACTTTCATTCGCTACCGCTTTTGCTAGCAACGTCTTCCCACATCCTGGTGGTCCCCAGAGTAAAACCCCACAGGCAGCGTCGATCCCTACCCCTCGGAAGAGGTCGGGGTATTTTATAGGCTGCACTACAGCCATATTCAGCTCCTCCCGGAGATTGTGGAGAGCTCCGACATCGGACCAGGTGACGTCGGGGACTGTAGCGAACCCTTCACGTTTGGAGGAAGGTTGGATTTGGGTGAGGGCGAGGTGGAAATCGGAGGAGGTTATGCATAATGGAGAGAGTTGGGAGGGTGTCAAAGGGATAGGGTGGGCGTTGAGGAAGAGGGCGATGGGTCCGAAGCTTGAAGGGAAGGAGATATTGGATTTTGAAGATGGTGATGATTCTGGTTCCGGCTGTGAGGCGACAGCATCTCCCCCCTCAACTGGCTGATCAATATCGATCTGCATCATGACCTCGTTAGCCTCGTCAGTTGACATCTCTACCTCAGCCGTCGCCACTTCCTCCGCTTCGTCCACGACAGTCGTTATGACAGGGAGTGCAACGTCCGGGATACCATTGAGCGGTATATCCCCCAACTGTTTGAAAATCCTCTTCACAGCGTTAATTCCCGCCGCAGCTGTGAGCGAGGATAAATCTGCGCCTACGTATCCTGGTGTGGCTTTGGATAGAGCGGTGAAGTCGAAGTTACCTTCGAGTCGGAGTTTGGAAGAAAGCACCCGGAGAATTCTGTGAGAATCATCAGTATTAGTGGCGGGATCAACGATACAACTTTGAAGCAACGAGGAAGAGAAAAGGTGGTAGAACGAACGAGCGAGAAAGGGAAATGGTAGAGGAGACTGGAAAATGTCGTTACTTACTTTTCCCTAGCTTCATCATCGGGTACACCCATACTTATCTCATGATCAAACCTCCCTGCTCGCCTCAACGCAGCATCTAACGAATCCGGTCGGTTTGTTGCACCGATTACTATGACAGGTTTGTGCTCGGTTTTCTCCCAGGATAGTTCTTGAGTGAAGAAGAAGAGGCGTGAGCAATAATTTCAGGTCAGCATGAGAGGATACGATAAAGGACGTGCAAGACAAGGAAAAATCGAGATTGGGAGACGTACCATCCATGCAAGTAAGAAACTGGGCCACGATCCTCCGTTCCATTTCCCTCTGGGCACTTTCACGTTTGGGAGTGACGGCGTCAATTTCGTCAATGAATAATAGACTTGGTGCGAGGCGCTATACAGTAGAAACGACTGTTAGCCAGAAATAAAGGAAACGCGGCTCAAAGAGTGTGAAGAACACAGGATGGCTCAAGGAAGGAAGGAAGGTTCACCTTTGCTTCTTCGAACGCATCCCTAAGTGTCTTCTCTGACTCTCCCGACATCCCAGAGACTATCGATGGTGCGGAAATGTTGATGAATGGTACACCTAACTCCTGATAATCAGACCAAAGTATTCATCAGTACGAAGCACAACTACGGATTATCGAAAAACGAATCGGAAACGGAGAAAGAAGAGGAACACGAAGGAGGTTAGAGAGGAAGAACGCACCCCAGCCATAGCACCCGCTAACATCGTCTTACCACACCCTGGTGGACCGTGTAAAAGTACCCCTCTCGGAGGTTGTATACCGGTATGCAAGTAGATTTCTGGATGACACAATGGCATAGCGATATATTCAAGCATTTTCTCGATACAAGCATCGACACCACCTAGATCAGAGAGTCGAGTAGAGGGAGGGGTGTGATCTTTGGATGTGGTTTTTGTTGTTGTGGAAACTTTTTGTCGTTTACTTTCAGGGTCGGTTGTTCGAGATGAACGAAGTTTGCGTTTTCCGTTAACAATCGGGAGAACAGCACCATCTTCAGGAGCTTCCACCAAAGTTGAAATCGTTTGATTCGGATTCTGATTAACCGGAGGTTCCTCCGTTGTAGGAGTCGTCGTAGTCGATGAAGTAGCATTCAAACTCGAATTATTCAGGTTGATTTTTGTACTTTTCATGTTATTCCTTTTCCAAAGACCTTGCATACTTCGATTCAAAGAGTTGTTCGCAAAATTTCCACCCTATCTGCCTCCTTCGTAAGCAATTTGACAGACATATAGCACTCAAAAGAACGCACAGGAGTTTCCATATTTCTGGATTTCCGTACAGTAGACTCTCCACAGAATTTCGTTCGAGTGGAAGTGAAAAAGGCTCAAGCGCTTGATTAGATTGTCGAATAAGCGCTCGATGTCGAACTCTGGCTCGAAGGCTTTCTTTCAACAGTTTTTCAGTTATTCGCCGAGTCTATGGTACATGATATCCAAAGTAGTTGCCAACTTCCAGACTATGTACTTGAACAGGATAGAGTGCCAACTTCGCCTGCTTCCAAAAGTCATGCAGTGATAGCAATTGGTGGTTGTGTAGCTATAACACAGCATTAATGGGGTAGTGGTAACCTGGGTCGTTGCCATTGCGGTTTCGAATTCGACCCGCCGGGGGTTCGATTCCCTCTTAATGCATTACAATTTTTCATTTTTGAGACTTCAACTTACTGACTTGGAATGTTCTAGGTGTTTCCTGTCGCCGCTGGGGCAGTGTAAGGAATGGGCAGTGCCTCACTCATATAATTGGCGCCAGACCTCTCTCCCTTGCTCAATTCCTCACTTCACCATTTCTCCATTGTGATCGACATCCAGTGATTTCTCTTGACCATGACGGCCATCTCTAATATCGCAACCTCGCAATCCTCTCCTCCTCCTCAACCATCACCAGAATCCAGATCCAACGGTTTTCCACCTGGGTACTTCATAATCCGTTCACTAGCAACAGGACGACTACTCGACGTCGCTGGTGATTACGCAGAGGATGGAACAGAGATCATTCTATGGCCGGAGAAGGAAAGTTCATTGGTTGAATGTTAGTACTCGAGTTTCTCAATTGCTGTTGATGTTTATTGCTTCTTTTCCGGATGTAGCTCGACGAGATCCTCAGGCCAATAACCAAGTTTTCTTCATTGATACATCCGGTGCTTTGTGCTCCAGGGCTTCGGGACATGCTATCGATATTGAAGGTGCGAATACCTCCTATCTAATTCATTCAATGAACTCACGAATTCCTTCCAACTCTTCACAGATAACCACCTCGTCCTCCGACACCGTCGTCCTATCTCACTCCCATTTCCCAATCGCTACGCTCATCCCCTGCCTAAATTCACCTACACTCCCCTCACCGGTGAAATCCACGTCGAGTTTGATTGTGATCCAACTTATCCGCTTTTCTCCGCCAACACTTCCTGGAAAGACAATTCGTATATACTTACCTCCGTCCCTCTACGAAAACCGAAATCCTTTATTGACGATGCCTCGGAATTCATAACGTCTAATTTTGCTTCCCCTCTAGTGTCGTTCTTCCAAGGCGGCACAGACACTCATGCTACACCGGAGCAAGTAGCTAGCAGCGGCGTTGAATTAGCAGAAGACGAAGTTTTGGAGGAAGATCGAGGAGAAGAAGCAGAAGTAGATGATTCACTTGATTTAAAGAGGGATGTGAAGATGTTGACGATAGCGAAACGAAATTCAGCGGATGGTCACACTGACTGGAATCTTACGGAAAAAGCCAAATTAAGAAGAAAGTTCGAGTGTGTTTCCTTGAGAGCGGTGAACAGGCGTACGGGTGGTATCTAATCAAGGTTGGTGGGTGGAACTTGCAAAGTTGTAAAATTATGTATCATTATCTACAGTATGTATTTTATTTCCTACCGTAAGATGTACAATACGCACTGTACAGTTAACTGTACGAAGAGTTATTGTCATACATAGTAGGCCCGGGGCGGTTGGCCCGTTGGGTGTCAATTTCGCTCAAAACGGAAGGTATGAGAATGCTCACATAAGCTTTTGATGGATTTGCGGATCTCTCCCGTAGCCCAGCGTAGCCCCCTGTCTTACACTCTTGCAGGAGTCAGTGTCCATTAACAACACTCACTCTCGTTAGCAGTTTCCTAGCCGCTCCGTACAATCAAATAATGGATGTCAACGGAACAAATGACAATCTTGAAACCATAAATTTAGAAAGGCAAAACACTCAAACTCTCTATCCCGGAGACCCTCAACTTGACGATATGGTTGCTCTTTTCGCAAAGTATGATGATGATACTTTACACCTCGCATCCTTCGTTTTTTCTCACTGTCTGTCTTCTTTATCTTCCTGTTTGTTTCGACAGTAACGAATTAAGCCCATCGCAAGGCACCCAGCTCGATACTGAACGTAGGGATTCGCGTACCGCGGAAGAAAAGAACGACCTTCTTCGTTGGGTGAGTATCTTACCCTCACTCTGATGCCCTTTCCATAACCTTCTTGTCTAGGCCAAGGAATTTGATGCATCTCATCCTTATATTCCCCGGGAGGAGCTCGCACGACGACGGCAGGCTACTAGCGGCAGTCTTCAAAGTTCGGTCTTCCCCTCGCGGTCGTCTCGCACATCGCAAGGCCTCCAGCTTTTCGATACCGAACGCCGAAATGATGTGTTTATAGAGAAGAGCGACCTTCTTCGTTGGGTGAGTACTTTACCCCTATCCTCAAGCTGTTTATGACCCTCTTGTCTAGGCAGAGGAATTTGATGCATCTCATCCTCATATCCCGCGGGAGGAGCTCGAACGACGACGGAAAGCTAAGGAGGAGGAACGTGCCAAGACACAAGCTTCCTTTTAACGGTCACCGTTGTTGCATGGTTGAAACGCGTCTCCTTTCATGTGATTTTGTTCACAAGCCTGCGTTAGGAGATGCGAACATTCAACAATGACTGGTTCAAAGCATCACATCCATCTTGAGTTCAATCATTGTAGTTGCCGGTATCGCGGGACAGAAGTCCAGATTGTTGAGTGCTACTAGATGTACTGTAAGTACAGTACGTAACAGAGTTCTAGAAAAAGAAAAGGTCCATCTTCACGAATCGTCCCAAACTAGATGACTCCCTACACCTCCCCAGAGTCTGTCAGTGATTGTGCGACAGAGGATTTCAAGACGTGGACAAGTAGCGTGGACAGTGGCAGCAGACACATTCTGTAATCCAAGACGGATATTATCTTTTCATACAGGCACACTCGGGACAGGCTGACCGCCTGAGACGCCAGAAAACACTCTAGGAAGTTGAATAAAGGGATCTGTCAAGACTGAAATGTGAATTCATATTCACAGATGAATCAGTCAATATGTGCAGGATATGAATAGAGGAGATCAGAGGAGATCCCAGACTCCCGTTGCGGGTACCGGGAAACCGGCAATGCTACATACTGACAATTAATCCAGAACTGATCTACTAACATGATACAGTGATGTTGTAGCCGCCTCTCATTTACCTCTGAGCTAGAGGAAATGTAGATGATATTGCTCTTTTCCTTTTCCTTATGGGTACTTTTCGTTTATCTCCTATCCTTTATCCCAGTCATTCTTTTATAGCCTTCATTCGGGTGACCGCTACCCTTCTTGCATGGTTCACTAGCTACCCTGTTTGCCTAACAGTACAGGCAGCCACCACCACCACCACTACCGTCGATGATGCAGATTCCAGTGCTTTCACGTTCGTTTCGGCTTGGAACGCTATAACCCCTTCAGACCCATGCGATGGGTGTGCTACGAAATTAGATTCAACCCAGGTTCTGGACGGGACTTGGCATGATGGATCGGTAGCTGGGAGTACAGCGTCATTCAAGTTTGAAGGTACAATTTTCGACGAATTTTTATTTTCTTGTGGACAGTTTAGCCAAGCTCACTCGGTATACAACCCAACTTATCACTTATCAGGTTCCGGTGTAACACTCTACGGTGTGACCAATGCCGACCAAACGTGCGCCTTAACATTCGTGCTAGACGGTGGTTCTCCAGTCAATCTCGACCTCTCTTCAATCCCTCAATCTCCCACCAAAGTATACAATTATCAGTTTTTCAGTGCATCCGGGCTTTCGAGTGGTTCTCATACTCTTTCGTGGACTATCGAAACTAGTGTCTCTAATGCTGTTGCATTGATTGACTACGCGATAGTCACTTCCGATGTTGCAAGTTCCTCTACCTCGACTACTTCGAGTAGTAGCTCAGAGAGTGGTCAAAGTCAAACCGGCACCTCGTCGTCATCTACGTAAACTAGTTCGTTTTTCGACACGTCGTTTCTCCCACTTATGTGTTTCCCAGGTCTCAAGTATCCTCTTTTCCCTCTTCCACACAGACCAACCCGATTTCCGGAACATCTTTATCCACGAGCAGCAACCTATCACCAACTACAACCAATGGTCCTTCCCCTACCGCCACTAACACTAGCACGTCCTCATTTATTACATCTAATTCTGGTTCCACAGTTTTATCCTCCATTATCCTCATCACAATCGGAACATCCGTGGAAACCTCCACTATGATATCACAACCGAGTCCAACAACCTCAGGACAAGTGTCCACTAATACCAGTGCTGCAATACCCGCTTCCCAGAAATCTAAACTCGCAGCTGCGACAATTGTTGGTGCGGTTCTAGGGACTGTGATCGGCGTGGCGTTGGTTGCTTTTATAGTTTTCTTACTTGCACGACGAAGGAGGAAGTCAAAGCAGGCTCCGAGTTCGATTCCAGGGCTCGAGAGTTTTCGCTTTGATCATAGTGAGTATTTTCATTTTCCATCGTGATTTGGTTTCACCTTGAAATCATAGATTTGGATAGTCAACTGCCGCTAGAAAAAGGTGCACGGCGAGAAATACTTTCAAGTATGACCAGCAGTGCAACTCCCGTGACTCCCGCAAGTCTGCATTCAGGACCGCCTGCGTTACTCTTACCTGTTCGAGGTCAAGTCCGAGACACTGGTAAGTCTTTACAGAGTCGCCAAAATTCAGTTCAGCGTGATGCATACTTATCTCGCGTATCCATCAGAAGAATCTCCATCCGAGTCTACTTCGCCCCATTCTCAACCTGAAGTCCATAATGCCAATGCTGCCAATACTACAAACTCAACCAACAGTCCCAACGAACCCCTACCTCCCAACGAACCTATCCGACAAATGGAACAGCGGATTTATATGCTCGAACAAATGCTTAGACACACAGATCATGCAGAACTGGCACTTTACGCGGGTTCTCCTCCGCCATATTGATCGATTTATCAATTGTTTTTTCTTTGTGATCTCCAATTAGGGTCCATATACACGGGCATATACTCCCTCTAGGCTTGTACATACTGTTGAAAAATGTTCCGATGTCGCGTGGTACAACGGTTGCTTCTAGATCTACGTAAGATCCCATTTTGTACCAGAATTATACCATGCTTCGACATCAGCAAGTTCCTGATTGTATAATATGTATAATATCATACACATTATACACTATCATACACTGACGGACCTGTATGATAGAAAAAGGGGGTACGTGATGAACATACTTCAAACATACCACATCATACCACATTATATGAATGTATATCCAGTTTCTCGTACATTGTCATATTGAATTATACAATATTATACAAGACCTCATACCACTCTCATACC